GTGAACAAGCCAGGACGCACCCCAGGATCTGGACAGAAGGAGCGATCTATTTGGGAAGAGTCTCGTGCACAGGAGCTTATACAGCGTGTCCTCAACAAGGAGCTTTCACTCACTGCAGCAGCTGTAAGACTTGGTGTAGACACAAATACTTTCTTTGCACACCTGACAGACAATGGCAAGAACAAAAGCCGCGTTGCACTTCTCCTAGGCACAGACAACAGTAGTTCAGAAAATACATTTGGCAATGCTAACCACAGTGAAGATTCAAATTCTGCCAATGCTGCTGTTGATGCTGTTGGAGATGATTCCAACCCTCCAGAAAACAGTGGTGGTTTAGTAAGTGAAGACAGCAATATGGAAAGCATTGCCGAGAATTCTCACAATGGGTCAGAGGTTAATGGGGAAAAGGATGATAGTGAAGAACCAGAGATTATAGATGACTCAAATACAACAGTAAGGTCTTCAGAACACATACCAGCATTAGAAGAAATAACGGTGGAAGGAAATGATGGAGATGACCAAATTATCTCTGATCAGGGTAGCACTGATCAACCCATGGAATCATTCCAGTCCATGGTTGAGGAGGAATCTGGGAATATGTATACAGAAACAACCTAAGATAGGGATGAAGAAGAAACCAGGCACAAAAATCCAGCTGATTGTCCTATGTTTGTATCTGATGTGAGCTTTAAGGTCAGTTCTGATTAGTGTAGGAGCAAGCATGGCTCAACCTCAGTAATGTCAGCCATGATTCAGTAGGATGCTAGATGTAAAGGTTTCTCCAACCTCAAAGATGACAAATTTGCAGTGAGTTGTGAGGGCTATTAACTACTCAAAGAAGCGTTGGCTTTAGTGACGGAAATGAAAAGTATATAAAAGGAACAGGGAGAGATGAAATATGACCTGCTTGATTGCATTGATGCTAGTATGTCAAGTATTTCTTTATGACAGAGTTGGTTTTTTGAAGAGTATTGAATGGATATAGTAAATCTAGCCAGTTTTCTGTGTTTGTTTTGTTTCAAAATATTTTGTCTTTCTAAAACTAAACATTGAATGAACCTCCTGAGGCATTACTGTGATGCCATAGTTAGTCACGGTACAAGTAAAGGTACAAGGCTAGGAAATTAGTACATGGAGTCCTGTAGGCTCTTTTGGAGTAAAAAAAAGAAACTAAAGGTTCCTTGCAGTAGATGCTGATGCTATGGTTACATTATTGATTTATTTCATGGAAGAACAGTTATAAAATGATTCACAGCAGTACATATAATCCTACTTGATGTTCACCTTCTGAATCAATTTTTTTATATTTTTTTTATACAATATTTACTTTCTTATTAATTTTGTTGCTTAAATTATTAACAATTATAAAAACAACCATTGGAAATTTGTAAAAGAAAAAATATTTATACGTATTATCACATAGTTGACAAGCACACATGGGACTCATGTTTTTGCCAATATCTGTCATTTATATAATTTAGACATATAATTAAATTGACAGTGTTTTCTTATCAGTAATTATTTGATAAATATATTATCTTCTGTAGGTATAAATTTCCATGACAGTATAGAACTGCAAACCTTCCATGTTTCTGGCACCCCAGCTGAAAAAGTGATTTTCAAGTTTCACCAAGGGGAATTTTTGATGCAGGCATTTATGGATCAGAAAATGTACATTTCATTGGTATATTTCAAATATGTCAGTAAAATGCAAAGTTTAAAAAGTTATCACAGTTACCCCTTGGTTATGGATGAATATGGGAAAAGATTATTCTGATTATATAAATGCAATACATAAAGAAAAAAGATTATCATGGAAAATGATATGGGTATTCAGATGTATTTATATGTATATAGACATATAGATAGTAAAAAGATGATGATATACCAGGAGGTAACTGAGATAGTAATAGCATGGTATGTGGAGGGCAATGAAAGAGAGGAAAAGATATAAGGTTTGGCGGGAATATGCTATACAGTACCCAAATTACTACATCACACACATTACACTACCTCCACATGAGTGCAGGCAAACATGATTGTGTAATTAGCCTAGGCAGAGCCCAAGAGCACCAGGTATATATTAGATACTGTTTGTCTCATAACAAAAAAAAACTTGTGGGAAGAAATCCCACCTGTTTTTGACTGGCATACCACAGCAATCTCAAATGGGATTGTGCAGAGCTTGCATCATGGTGAATAGGACTTAATAGGGGTTGATAAATAAATCTACTGGGTAGACTACTTTACTTCATGGAAGGTTGCACTGTATTGTGCATCAAATGTCAGCCCTGTGACTTCAGGTTCTTTTCTATATGTTTTTATATAAGTTAAAGTACAAAATGTTATATTGATTACCAGTGGTTATATGTATAGATATTGATAATTTGTGATTAGAAATGCTAGAAAATCAATTATTGAATGTTTAGAATTACAATTTAGGAGGTGAATTGCCAAGTAGGATTATATATGTATCTTACCATGAATCTTATGAAGATACTTTGTGACCAAAACTTGGCTGAGAAATGAAAGCGTAAGTCAGAACTGAAGATACATTAAATACCAAGTGCCATCATAAAATTGGTCACTGAAGGAGGCAGCTTGTATTTCTTTCATATCCAACAGAATGATAACCATCATCATATAGGACAATTTTCATTTTTAAAGTGGTGGCCAGAGCCAAAAAATGTTCTTTTTTCTTTTTTCTTGCTCTGTGGTATCATGTGATGAAGTTAATCAGTAGTTATAATTGATATAATGAGTAATTTTGATGACATCAGCCCATAAAGTCTTCCTGCTATGCATCAAGTTTAAGTTTCCAGAAAAGCACAGGAGCCTTGGTGACATCACAGAAGCATTCAGTCTCCTTAGGTCCATCTCTAGCTCCTCTCCTAATCATCCTTCTACCACATTCACAGTCTCCTTTTCACTCATTCATCTGTGTCATTATTTGTAAAACAAGTTTTATCAGAAAAATGTTGTAAATCTGAGAAAATTTGTCAGTTCTTCATCAGACACCAAAGCAGCATCGGCCAATTTTATGCTGTTATGTCATCAAACCTTCCTGCATTTTCTGGGGTGCACATTTGGCTCAATGGCTGGATGCACTTTAAGAGCAATTTCTGTCAAAACTGCTTATCAGTACTAAATTCAATTGATAGCTTTTATCAGATGATACCAAAGAATAGATCCTAGCAAAATAAAATGGGACAGGCCATCCCCTTTACACTTTAGAGAGATGAAATTCATGTGAATGATAGAAAATATGGCATTGTATGTCTGTGACATGAAGTTATCATAATTTCCTTTCTCTCCCTTCCTCTCAATCCTTCCTCCTCCACCCCCCCTCTCTCTCTCTCTCTCTCTCTCTCCTCTCTCTCTCTCCTCTCTCTCTCTCTCTCTCTCTCTCTCTCTCTCTCTCTCTCTCTCTCTCTCTCTCTCTCTCTCCTCTCCCTCCCTCCCTCCTCCCTCCCTCCCTCTCCCTCTCCCTCTCCCTCTCCCTCTCTCCTCTCCCTCTCCCTCCCTCTCCCTCTCTCTCTCTCTCTCTCCTCTCTCTCTCTCTCTCTCTCTCTCTCTCTCTCTCTCTCTCTCTCTCTCTCTCTCTCTCTCTCTCTCTCTCTCTCTCTCTCTCTCTCCCCCCTCTCCCTCTCCCTCTCCTCTCCCCTCCCTCTCCCTCCCCTCCCTCCCCCCTCCTCTCTCTCCTCCCCCTCCATATCCCTCCTTCCCCATATCCTCTACATCTCTCTTTTATTTTATGATCTCCCTCTATTCCTGCTCTTTCTGTTTATCTATCTATTATGTATTTGCACACAGCAGAATCAAAGCTGTGATAACTACACACTGATGCAACATGCCTTTGACAGGTGGGTCAAAGTTTGTGGCAATATTAATTTATGAACGAACCCCAAAGATTTGCCTAAAGGATGCTTGTCCTAGCGGGCCATTAAATGGTTCGTGCCTTAAAATAGGGAAACCAGTTATTATTAGTATAATTATATTATTCAAAAACTTTTAACACCTGTTAGGTTATAGTGATAAAATTGTTACTCTAGGTTCCAGATTGAGAAAACATATTTTAAAGATTAAGCTTTGCATCAGTAGCCTGTTTGATAGTTAATACTTAACATCAGCTGATTAATTGTTTTAAGGTTTCCGCAAGTTTGTTCTTGATGTGGGTGTTTTCTCTCAAAATTTTACTTTGTGGCTGCTATTATTTGTTGGTATAAAGAAAATTCCCATGGTATTTCAACAGTTTTAATGTTCAATTAATAAATTGGACTTGTACAGATTATTTTCTCTTCATTGCGTCCACAGTGAATTAAACCAAATTTTGCAACAGCAGATTTTCATTATTGTAACATTTACAATATATTCTGAAGTCTGTGACTACAAATATTCAAACTTCACCATAAATTTCACCCAGCAGATAACTATCTTCTCAAGAATAGTATTGCTTAGATTGTAGTCACTGAACTCATCAATCTGCATATATTGTATGTCTTTTTAAATTTGGGAGTGAGTGTATCGTAATTTACCAGACCCATAGCTTAAACTTTGTATTATGCATGATTTTGCATGCATTCACTGTGTTTGTAGTTGTGCATTCATAGCTGTTGTTTCTATGTTGTTTTGTATAGATTGTCACCATTGTGCTACTTTTTCTCCTCAGACCAAGGAATTATTTTGGTAGGATAAAAGTTAGGAGTATTGCTAATACACCCCATCCAATGGCTTACATGTAGGTAACATTCCAGAACAGAGAGAAGGAAGGTTCACCACAGCATGGTGGTAGAATTATTGAAAGTTTGAATTTTAGGTAGTATTTGTTGTCAGTCTATATAAAGTATCTCCAGTGAGGATTTTCTGATCATGAAAATACTGGTAAAGTAGTAAATCTATTTTCAAAATTAAATTCAAACATTTAAAAATGTACTACTAAATGACTGCATGCATTTGCAGTGATTTTTTTTCTTTTTCTTTTTTTGATGCAAGTGTGGATGTGTGTACACATTTCCAAAGAAATGCATAGAATAAGTGTGGTATGGATGTACTCTGCACATATTTGGCATGTGTTAGCATGAACAGTTTTATTTGAAAAAGTGTGTTTATACCAAAACAAAAATGTTACCCCAGCCATCTTTAAACCTACAGCATTATCATAGTCCCAAAGAAATTGAAAGTTAAAGATCATGTTTTATTTTTGTTATTATTAGCTTCAGTTTCTTAGACAATAAAGTATTCTAATTGCTCATGACAGAATATTTGTGTTTGTCATATCATGTAATTGATAAGTAATTTGGGCAAGATGTATTGGTTGGACCAGAAGTTTACTGTTTGTCATTAAGATAATATTGAAGAGAGAAGTACATAGTGTTATGTGTATTTGTGTTGGATTATTTTATACTTTCTTGAATGATACATTGATGCAGTTATGTACACATATATATGAAAATAAAACAAATGTAAGGCATATATACATATGTATATGTACTAGATGCAATGCAGCTAGGATTAGTTGTTGATGACGGTGATGATAATATTTACAATGCATAAAAAAGATGTCTCAACAATATATCTAACTTGAATACCTGGGTTTAAGGCATGAACAATTGACCATAATAGATAGACTGGAAAATTTCCTGATTCAAGGGCTTACAATTCCTTATTTAACATGAAATTTGATATTCGCAGTTCATTTCTCCAAATTCCTCTGTCTGTGTTCACAGGTTCGTTGTGATATTTATGACTGGTGCCTATAGATGAGGAGGTTTCTCATCAGTATGAACATGTTTACAGTAACAGTTTTTGATTATCATAACTGTTTTTCTTGGGCTGTCTTTATCTAAATGTTGATTGGTACTCATTACCTCCTCCCCCCACTGTATCACACTTTAATTTTTATGAGAATGTGACAAGTTAATGGTTTCTTATTTTTAGATTGTCTATTTAATGTCAGATAACATTCATTGAAACCAAACCAAATTTTGTAGGAAGTGAGATTATTTGATTTTAGAAGAGATTCTGTGCTCAATCCTGCTTTAGACCTTTGAGAGTTGGACATTTTTAGCAAAAATGTTTTGGTATTTGTCAAAATTTAATTTCAGTTTGTGGATGGTCATGAAGTTCTCATATTTTAGTCCAGCATTTTGACTTTTCTTATTGTTATTGTCTTCTTCCACATTATTTTTCTGTCTTCTCCTTTTCCTCTTTTTTTATTTCTTTACTGGATATTTTTCTTTCTTCAGAAATCTTTCTTTTTTTTATCCGAAGTGGCCTTATACCAGGAGTGTGAAAAGCAAGACACACCAAAGCACGTTCCAGTAAACACAGCAACGAGCCTTCTCTCTCCTACTACATGTTTCAGTAGTGTTAGACTAGAAAGCTTTGTTTAATGTGTAGCAAAGATTACTCTTTGATTGCAATTTTTTCTTGAATGCTTATGTAAAACTGCAGTTGGATAAGCAATTTAGAAACAGACCAATGTAAGTCAAAGTTAGTGAACTTTGTGAGTTTGTATTATTTTCTGTTAAATAGTATGTCAGTGTTTATAAACTTCAAAATGCCTTGTTCCTTAGGGTGCCTTAACAGCATATTGTATATTACTATTTTTTGTAAGATAATGGGACACCTTGAGGTAAGTGTAGGGTGATTAAGACCTAATTATCATTACTGTATGTATAACATTATAATCACAAGGTAACAAGTGGATCAGATAGTCACTATTTCTTATGTTCACATGTTATCTCTCTATTTTCATTTCTGAACTTTCCAACTGTGAACTTTCTACCAAAGTATTAATACTTAATTTTTCAGTTATTATAGCTTTATGCGACATAAAAATATTGGTTTGACTTACTTTCAGTGATTGTTACTGTACAACAACAGTTACACTAATATACATTTCACAAGATAAGTAATAATAGTTATGCTAATATAAAGAACAAATTCTTTTATGAGATGACTGCTGTTTGCTTATGTATGCTCACTATATTAATTGAATAGAAGTTGATATGTTGAGTATCTGAGCTGACTATTAAGATATGCTCTTTGAGTTAGATTATTTCTAATAACAGTAGATTTGATGTTTGTGTGAATGTGTTAACAGAGTTTGGATGTTTATGTATAAGCACAGTGATGTACACAGTGGTGTAATGTTGGAGGCATATTTATGAATTTTAATATCCCCCCCTTCTCTTTCTCTCTCTTCTTTCTCCTCCTTTCTCTCTTTCTCCTCCTTTCTCTCTCTTTTCTCTCTTTCTCTTTCTCTATATAATATGTACATATATATATTATATATATATATATATATATATATATATATATATATATATATATATATATATATATATATATATATATATATATATATATATATATATATATATATATGTATATATGTATATATATATATATATATATTATATATATATATATATGCATATATATATATGTATATATATATATATATATATATATATATATATATATATATATATATATATATATATATATATATATATATGTATATATATATATATATATATATATATATATATATATATATATATATATATATATATATATATATATATATATATATATATATATATATATATATATATATATATATATATATATATATATATATATATATATATATATGTATGTATATATATATATATATATATATATATATGTATGTATAATGTATATATGTATGTATATATATATATATATATATGTATATATATATATATATGTATATATATATAATATATATATTATTATATATATATGTATGTATATATATTATATATATAATATATATATATATATATGTATGTATATATATATGTATATATTATATATATATAATAATGTATATATATATATATATATATATGTATATATATATATATGTATATATATATATATATATATATATATATATATATATATATATAATATATATTATGTGTATATATATATTATATATATATATATATATATATATATATATATATATATATATATGTATATATATATATATATATATATATATATATATATATATATATGTATATATATATATGTATATATATATATATAATATATGTATATATATATATATATATGTATATATATATATATATATATATATATATGTATATATATTATATATATATATATATATATATATGTATATATAATATATGTATGTGTATATATATATATATATATATATATATATATATATATGTATATATATATATAATATATATATATATATATGATATATATATATATATATGTATATATATATATGTATGTATATATATATTATATATATACAATATA